AACACAGTTAACTGACTTTTTAGTCACCCTATAAATTTCATGCGTTACTTTATTATTAAAAAATAGTAAATAATAACGTTATACAAGTCTTGAGCATTCTAAATTATAGAAAATTAACTTGTTCACTAATTAATAATTTAAAATATTTTTATATCTTTAATTTATTGTTTTCTTCTGCAACTTTCAACGCAGATTTATTTAAAATTCCTTCATAAATTTATATATATATATATATATTTAAAGANTTATGGATTTTTTATTATGTTTCGTATGCCATTTATGGAAGGAATTTAAATTCTCTTCATAAAATCTCAATAAAAGTAACAAGAAAATAAATAAATATACATTTTGAAGAACGTAAAAAGCTTTTAATTTTTGTTTTTTACGAATTATTTCTATAAAAGTATTTAATTTTTCTTTCTTTTATTATCCTAAATAACATTAAAGTTAATCCAATAAAAGCAAAATGGACGTTCGTTTAGATATTATGCATTCATCGAATTAAAAATAAATAAATAAATAAATGTTGAAAATTTAATTTATATAAGACTATTCTAGTTTATTTTATTGTTTAAAAAATTTGTAATGATCGAAAGAGGATGGAAAATTTCTAATTTGAAATTGGAAAGAAGCCAGAATTTTGACAGGGAATGACGTAAAAATAAGAATAAGAAAATACACACATACAACAAATTCAAAGTGCTTCTTAGATGATGATGGAGAGTTTTACAAAAATGAAGTGAAGAAATTTATTTATTTATTTGGATAAATTTCTTTGATTTTTTTCAGATTTAAACACCAAAAAAAATCTGTAATTTATCATCTAAACTATTTCATTTTTAGGAAATTTTTATTGATTTTGGCGATTTAAAAATACGCAAAGACATCTCTAATTTATCCTGTAAAAAATTTAATTTTTTGGATAAATTTTGCTAATTTTTAAAGATTTAAAATCGAGATAAATTATAGAAAAATATTCTAAACCTGTCCATTTTTAACGATAAATTTTATTGATTTTTATTAATTAATCCTAAAACGAGCTTATAATTTATTTTTTAAAAATTTGCATTTTTAAGATAAATTTCGTTGAAATTTTTAGTAATTTAAAATCCAAAAAAAAATTTTAATTTATATTTAAAAAATTTGCCTCTATTGAAAATATATTTTATTGATTTTAAGCCATCTAAATCGAAAAAACCTTCAATTCATCTTCTAAAAATATTATATTTTTAATGATTTTTAAAGTAAAATGGCATCCAAAAATCTTATACTGATATGAAAATGATATTTAATAAAAATTTATTAATAAGAAAAAATTACGTTTTTCTTCGTTTTTGCACCTTATAAACTGTGAAAAAATCCTTTTAGTAGTCTTATAAATAGGCTAGAACCTATGAAAAATATGTTTAGCTTGCATATTTGGGCTAAAATGAGTTATTAATTCATAAATATTTTGCATTTTATTAATCAAAAAAACATCAAAAATTGCATTTTTCTCACCAATGAAAAATATTGATAAATATTTTAATTTTATTTTAGTTAAAATTTAGCCAATGAAAGTAGTTAAAATTAAATAGAAATGTTAATAAAAATGATATTGAGAATGAAGCTTGATTGTAATTAAGAAACTAATTTTAAATTTAAAAAAATAATTATCTTAATTCACAGAAATGTAATAATTCTAACTTTAAATATAATTAATTATAATGCAAATTAATCTTCCTCAAATCTATTATTAATTACAATCATATTTTAATGTTTAATAATTTATTTAAAGCACTCAAAAATGTTTAAATTATAAATAAATCATAATAGCGATCTTAATCATAATTTAATTCAATTTTCTTTAAAATTTAATTGCAATTAAATATTCTAACTTAATTATAACGATACTAATTATGTATAATAATTTTAATTTAAATATAATAAAATTAAATAAT